TAACGTTCATATTTTAAGGTTCATTTTATTAAGATTAAATTTGTTCAGTCTTTAATTGAGTCACCCGCCCATCTCTTTTTAGGTGGGAGGTCATGGAATTAGACCGTAGGCATTAGAATCGGACATTACTTTCTGCAAGTATTTCTTGTGAATAAGGCGATAATAATAAGGAGGAAAATTATATTTGTGGGCAAGCAGAGTAAGAGTAAGAGCTAGATTTCTTAACTAGCAACCTAAGGGAGGAGGAGCGTTTGTCATCCGGCTAGTTTGTATTGTGATGATAGTTTTTAGTAAATACTGGATATTAAATCCGAAAAAGATGAAAATTCATACTTAACTTATACGAAACATTTTAATTCAGTGAGTCATTTAACGTCATTACTTAATAGTCCTTCAGTAGGAACGTAGTTGGAACTTGTACCACGGAGTTGCTTGAGGAATAAGAAATAAGTGTTTATTTACGCGCGATCACCTCAGAAAAGATCGGCTTTACCAATTTTACAGAAACTTTTGTTGTCTCATTTTGATCAGTGCAGTACAGTAATCTCAGTAATGTTAGTTTCATATGATGTCTACGATCTTTATAATTAAGGAGTGTAGGTAGGTTGACGCTTATTAATCCTAACAGCTTGTTTTCCAGTAAGGATCTATCTTCTCGTTAAATGTATCCACTGACTGACAAGAAACCATGTACTCAAGTAGGGTTTTCCAGATATTAACTGGTCGGTGCGAACAAAGAAATCACTCGTTGTATTACTAGACCGTAGTTTTTGAATCTTCGTGCTACAAAACTGGAGATGATTGGTTTTGAAATGATCAAGACGATTTTACAGGTTGAAACCCAAATATATAGGGAATACCAATATAATGCCAACTCGCGCTGTGCAGTGAGACAGAAAGAAAATGAGTGTGTTTTAAGTGCCCATGGTAGAAGGGCTTGAAAATACTCATTTCTAAGTTCCCATTCGCTGAACACGCTTAAGTGTGATCACATCCTTAATAAGATATGAAATAACCGTTTGGTGGCAGTACTCTGATTGGGGTCTAGTATAATTAGTGTACGAAACCCGAAACATGTATTTGTCCAACCATTTGGATGCTAGGTGAAGTTACGATAACACCTGGAGACCCTCCAAAGCACCTTCACTGCACGTAACATTTTTTTAAGTTATGACCTGTAATACATGCAGCTGGTGGACTTCACAAGTTTTAATAGATCCAGAACAGCAGTTTTTCTTGCAGCGCCGTTAGCATCAGTTCTACTGTATTGCAAATGGGAGCTCGTCTGTCATCTATGGTGTGTTCACGTCTCAACCTTCAGTGAACTAGTTCTGTCGTACTATTGGGTCGTTAGCGATAGTTAGACGGTTGTGGTACTTCCACGAATTAAGTGTGATAATAGTCAGCTGAAGTGACTACTCGGCAACCATGACTGTGATTCATCTTTCTACAGTTTCAGCATTGTTTCCGAGACAGTAAAATGGTGACATATTTGTGATATCCCAATTTGCAGAAACAATTAGCTGGATTTATTATTGGCTTGACTTTTATGAAAAGTACTTGTCAACTGTTAAATCAAGCTGGAGCTTTTACAACTTTGTCCCACAAAAATGTACGCTCAGATTTCTACGCAGTATCGAATACATCCAGTAATGCCGTACACGGTTAGCTGCCTCCAATTAAAGCTTCTGCAACCCTGCAACTCAGTTCTGTACTTAAATCGGTACTTCTACACATTCATAAACCTAGTCTGAAACCTGTTGTCATTCAGCCTCTTTCAGATGACAAAGATTTTCACTTCCGTTCTTACAATCCCTTATTTCATCGATATTTTTGCCAGACTAAATTCATCATTCTCACACTAGTCAGTTAGTCCCATTGTCCATGAGTCTTGAATGATAAAATCATGAGCCACTAGCATCAAATCCTCTTCCATTGTTTCTATAATGACGAAACCATTTACACCGTATTTGCAGTGACGGGACGCATTCCCTCATCCACTGATGCCACAATTTATTAAGTGAGCAGTTTACTTGTCTTTGCTGTTTTGAAAAACTCTTCACAACAGTGCACCCCATCCATTAACAATCACCGTCCCCACATGACAGCACTATGTAAGTTATTGCTTTCATCTGATGTCAGCTATTAGAAATTATTTCTAGTCCCACGATATAGGTGACTAAGCTGCCATCATCCAAGACTCATTTTTATTCCAGAAACATCATTTGCTCACCTAAGGTAACTTTCTTAGGCCTACGTTTCATGATTTTGCTCATAACTTGCTGGCCAAACTTGCTCCCTTAACAATCCACTAATTCCAGCGTATGGTGGCTAACACTTTTCAAGGGCCAATATGACCTTCTAGTTGATGTTAGTGTCCTATTTCCTGCCTTTTACTAGTTAATGTTTGGATAAGATCTCAGGCCGCTTCAGTAAGGAAAGATAACCTGAGTGGTTTACTCATCCAATAACACAAAGCAGTTCTTCGATTAGCATGAGAGATAGTCTACTCGATTTTTTATTTTCATTGCATTCTCGTAAACTTCTTGATTGCATCTGTTTCTCAGATGTCTGACAGCCCACATTTAATGATCTATCATATTGTCGGAAACTGAAGTTAATGGTACAGATTACGTATCTTTTAAGCCATGCAACTGATTTAATTTAGTTCGAGGATTAAAACAGAACCGGATCAAGGTTGTGATCTGTGATTTCCGTGTCAACTGTGTTGGCTCTTTTAAATTCAACAATATTGGGAATGTGGATTTTCGTCGAATCGATCGTGTCGTCACTGGTCCACTGATGTCAGCTGGTGAATATCGGCCAGGCCGTTCTCCACGAACGATTTCTATATTTATAAGTACTGGGGTCGTGGTTGTTACTTCACATCCCAATAGACTCGAAAGTAGAATGTCAGATAATTTAAGAACAAAAAACGTAAGATTCAAGTTTTGAAGAGGGAAATTATTTTTGATGATAATAAGTAGTATGTATTACATCAGAACAATGCCTGAAAGACACTTACAGTTAGAACGTTAGCTTTTACCTTCCTAATAAGCAACTTTGCATCGATCAAGTTACTTTTCTTTAGGTCCTGTCTTCGCAAGTGAATGAGTGTATGTTTGAGGCAAAGCAACTAGGAGGTGAGCGATCAGTCAAGACAGCTTTACCTTCCACAGAGTAATTCAAACTTATTATAATTTTGGTTATCGTAGTTGCTGTTCCAGTTGTCTGTCAGAGAATGGAGACTAACCACATGTTTTTGGACGTGTTCAAATGTTCCTATGCTCCAAAACATCCTATCCTGGTATTATTACTCTAAGCCCTTAGATTAGTCGAGTGGCGATCTACATATGAGCTTGGTTAGTAAACTTTAGTAGCATATTTAAAAAAGGACTGAACTAATAGCGGTAAAATAGAAAGATGTTCCAAATCTGAAGACAGAACTTTGCCATGAAACTTGAACATTTGTTTTAAATAATCAAGTGTCCTACAAAAGCAGTAACGAGTAGTGTGCATTTTTGAATTATTGGACACTAGGTTCTTAGTTGTTAGTCTTTTTTGATAAACATGAGTAGTTTTTGTGGATTAGTGGTCAGTAAAATGCCTATCTTGGTGACGGCGTTCGGCTAAGACATTTTGCTAACATTGAGATGTTAGATTGTACGGTGGTACATATATTTGAATATTGGTTTGATTGTGTTGAACAGAAACGAAAAAAGAGAAAATAAAGACTTAATTAAAAAATTGTCGGAAAAAACCCAACAGTCGAATTGACGTGAATATAAAAGAAACAATGCATCGAATCGTGGTTTTTTTAATCAGCTCAGGGTAACTAGTGAGAATGTATTTCTGAACCTTCCAAGCTGAGGTATTATAACTAGAGATATTAGGAAAAATTGATTGCATTATCCAGGTAAACTACTGTCGCTTTTGGAAATTAGTTGGGAAACAACCTTCATTCTAATGAATCTTCATGAATCTCCGGACAACGTTAAGTTCTCTATTTACAAGAAAATAACTACGATGTTATCTAGCTATTAGGTTGCACACCACTGTTGATGATCTATACAAGAGGAAAAGACGATTAGGTGTTCTGTCTCAATGGGGACTGTTACAACATTTATTGAGCTCTTTAATTTTTTTTCAAACTTCTTTTTATTACTAATTAGACAACGTTATATTGTGGCTTAAATAGATGTACTGTGATAACGGTAACGAAAATTTGGTTTTCACAACTAAGAGTCGGTGTCCAACAAGTAATCTGTGTTTTATTATTTTTAAGAGCGTTTTTTCAAATGACTAAATAAGATTTTATGAATAGTATTTTCTTAATTGTTTTCAAAATCGTGTCTATATTTTGGAGAATCCGTTTTTTTAAATGTCTCATAAATGCAAACTGGAGATATGTGCTTCCTGAGACTTCAAAAGACGTTTTTATACGTTTTATGCGTGGCTATCAATAATTCAGCGATGTAAGCTTTTACTTCTCTTTCACTTAGTTGACCAGGATTTAAGTCCATCCGACCTTAAATTGCCAAACTACCATGCTGCACTGGGTTCAAAGACAAGGTTATCGCTTACAAGCCCTTTTTTGTATTGATTATTCGGTTATCTACTCTGTTTAAGGTGAAAGGGTTATTCATTTAGCAATCACTGGGAAATTACAGGCTTTTCGGATGATGTATACTATCTTTTCCAAGTGTTCGGTAGTGTCGGTCATGAGAAATTTCAAACTAACACAAACTCGAGAACTAGAGAGTTAACGATAGCATCATTAGAGTTTTCCTAACGGATTGCTAATTAAGCTTTCTATTTGTACTTTGAAACTAGCTATTAATGCAGGCAGTCAGATATAGCAACATATATGTATTAAAAATGGGCTTAGATAGTTTAATGTTTTGAAGTGTATGCCGGTTTTATACATACTCTTTCTCTAAATATCACTTTGTTTTGTAATTTCTAACTTATAGAAAAGAATAACTGGAGAACGATATGTAATGTCTTTTGACTACAATAATCGTCACGTTACCAATCATGATATGCAATTTCTACTGAATTTACGATTTGATGAATCAGTCTGTAATGAATTTTTACCAGTGTCATTCGTATCGTCACGAGATAAGTTATGGAAATTGTATAAACAGCCGAATGAAGTATGCTTCGATTTTATAGCCACAGATGACTATTATACAGGTTCACTTTAAAAGGAGGACTGCATTTAGAGTAAGAGGTGATTGTTCTAAAATTGTTTTCCCAAAAAAGTCAAACAGAGAAAGTTCAAAAATTAAAATGGCGTGTGACCAAGTGTGTTAAGTCTAAATAAATTTTAAGTAATTAATAAAACGTTTCCATGCTAAACATTTCATGGTAACTCAAAATACTGTACGACAAAACTATTCGAAGTATCATGGGTATTATGTTAAATAACTGGACATTTAAAGACGTTTAATAATAGATGTTTAGAAATTCGACACTTATACTTACCTTGTCGGCTTTAATAATCATTACTAACTGAAAGTACCAGGTCAAGCGTCTTGACTACATTTCAGCACCGTATAATTCAGAGGCTTATAAATCTTTAGGTAACCCTTTAGTTTTCATATATCTCTGTCTTCTTTTAAATGTACTGCCTTTAACCTTAAAACCTTTTGGAGGATTCTAACAGTTGTATGGTCTAGTCTTATTGAATTTAAAGCTTCTTCACACGTTAAAATTCTAAATTTTGCTGGTCTACAATGTGATACATAACGTGTATTTATTTTTTAGAGGGTATGAGTTTTCCAGACACCTCAAAGTCATTTCACAAACGTTTTGCCAGACACTAAGCAATTTAAGGTTTCGTGTCTGAGAAAACACCTCACTGTAAGATTCTTTTATTATTGCAGAATTTACAGTGGAAAAACATGGCCAATGAATTTGTATGTCACTTTATAAGTTTTAAAATATGTTTCGTCAATTTCGTGATTCTATAACAAAACACCTAAAAGGGTATCACATAAATCAAATCATACAAATATGGAGTGAACAATCTACATAAATCAGGAAGCGTTTATCCATTTCATCTCAAGTAGAAATGAATAATTTGCATCTACTTTTGAAGGAGATTAGACTATTTACCATCTCCTTGTTTTGTGATTATATTTTAAAACGTTTAAAGATGGTTTAGAAAAATTTATCCGAAAACCGTTTTCTTTAGTTGGTCAGCAAATCTACGATTACTCTTATTCTAGACATCTATTAAAACTCCAATGAAACATTCCCAACTAATTTCACAATTCTACATAATTAGTGGTAACTTTGTGCTCATTGCCATTATATGCTTAGTCTTTTGTGTATCACTTAGATAAATATTTCATTAGCCGATAATAATTTCAGCTGTCTGTGATAGCGGTATCTAACAATATAATGATTTCTGTCAAACTTAATCAAAGCAAACTTCTAAATAGGGAGTTTATAGTCTACAGAATGTATGTGATTAATGACTTTATTCCTATCAATAATGCTCGATAATTACAGGATTTATTACAAGATTCGTTTGTCAAGGTATTATGTTAGCGCATTTATATGAAAACCTAAATGGGTATGTTTTTTAATTCGGTACAAGTCAGCATTTGTTTTAGGAGGGAACGTTCTCATTCTTTGAATGGAGCGATTGCACGGACGTTAATATTTGATAAAATTAAATGCCTGTTACATGACTTTCATCAGAGAGTTGGATAAGTTATCCGTCTTATATATATTATAAAGGCTTGGAATATTTCAAAGCCTTTTAATGTTTTGACTTGGAACTACGACATGTGGTATATTTTTATCCGTACCATCGTAGATTTTGATAATATTAAAACAAAGAACTATATTTCCTAAAAATCCCCAACATATTAAAACATGAATAAAAGAACGAAGAAGCTTTTTCAGCAAATTCTCTTCAGTTTCTACAGACAACATCTAAATTAATAATCCAAAACGTGACCAGGTTTAAGGCAAAATACATCGTTTAAAATTTATAGCACGTGAACTTAGGATTGTTTGCGTCTAATAGAAATATCTTCAATCACTCGTTTTACGCTGATCAACTTCTGACCTAATTTATTAATAATCATTTAGATGATTATCTCTATTTTTGTAACTTATCTTACTGTACTGGAGATCCATACCGTGAAGATTAGAACAGCACATGTAAGCAAACAACATTGTTTTCAGTGCGTAACACGTATTAAACAGAAATAATTTCTTAACGGTATGAAGTTTAATCTTAAACTCACTGATCTAACCATTCATCTGTATCCTTTTACCACCTATCGAAAGCGTCATTTAACCGGCCAATTAAATGCCTATGGCACATTGAAATCGTGAATCAATGATTGTTAGACCACCATTAGAAACCTGGAAGCACTGGACGGCCATTTCATTCTGGTATGGGACTCATCGGTAGTGTGCGTCCACAACTTCTGCCACCCATAGGATTCGAATTTAGGACCTTCGGTCTTGTGCGTGAACGCCTGACCTCTGGACTACTGAGCCGACAGTTTTAATGTCTAACTCTAATCAATCTGGAAATTTCGCGCGACCTCACCCATTTGTCTTCTGTAGCTACTGCCTACACTCGACAGGGTTGAACTCCACTGGTCACGTCTTCTCACTAGAACTCCGGGAATTCCCTCACGAAGTTAGTCACTAGTGAGAAAATTGTACAATTCTTTTAATTAGAGTTATAAAGATCATTGATTTTACACACTGAAATCATGAACCAATCAATCTAACATATTTGTTCGGCAGGTAAGCTTTTATGCAATGGCTAAGTGATCAGTCAGTCATAATCACGAGTTGTTGCATATCAGTTATAAGAAAAACTGCTGCTTTCATCCTTTGACAGTCGATTAGATGAGTACGATCTGTCTTTATTGATATTCATTTTGGTAGCTTTTGTTGTCATCGATTCGACACGATGTGATAATAGTTGAAAAAATTGTATATGAAATAATCACTCGTCCAAACACACTCAAACGTTGCTTTTGAGTAGAGTAAGGCTATGAAACGTGGTGGATGCAACAAACTTCTGCGACTGGCAAATGGTACATAACTCCAATCCATTTTTAGTAATATTACGATACCACATCCTGTTATTCAATGCCACTGCGTTGATCTGTTTGATTAATTTCACCACATGTATTTTTAAAAAGATTACTAAGGTAGAAATCTTTAAATTATATTCCTTACCACCTCGCTGCTTGGGAATCTTGTTGGCTGTTTCCAATCCTCGTATTCACTATTATTATTGTTACCATTACTATTATAATAACATTTGCAAACGTTTTGAGAAATTTATTCAGTATCCACTTCTATTGGCTGATTCGTACAACAATTTTGTTATTTTCCATATTACACGATTTCTGATTTGTAATTATATCATTATCTTTCTCAACCTATGTTAACCATATTTAATCTGATCTCGCAATGCCATCATCATACGCATAAATTGATTCAACAATCCTAAATTCATATGCAATAATTTAAATGATCAATTTTCTGTCAAACGTGGTCACTTTTTAGATTATCAAATTTGAATAGATAACTATATCTAAGTTGAGTTGGCTTTTATTTATTCATTAAACAATTTTAGGTCAATTCAGGACGTGAATTTTATCAAGAAAGAAAAGTAACGAAAATTACAGTGTAAGTTTTATAGTACTTTGTTTTACTTCTGAACTAAGTTCAATCGACTGATTATTATGTTTCACGGAGTTTTTCAAAATAATCCAAGTTTATGATTTTCACTTAAAATAATGAACTATGCCATAAGTTGAATTTCACTTATTGATTTCCAATGATTCCCTTCTGGTTGCATTTTGTAACAATTTTCTTTTTATAACGGATAATCTTGCCTGGCGTTGAATAACAAACAATAATCTAGTTGGTTCAAGTTGTATTAGTTGATACTAAATTGATTTTATGATAAAAATCAAGTTGGATTATGTTTATTGTATTAAGAAAGCTTATAAAATCATTCTGATGTTTACAGTAAAATGTTTCCTTCACAATTATTGCAAATGAAATTACTAACTTACTTACGCCTGTTACCCCCAATGGATCATAGGCCGCCCACCAGTTTTCTCCAACCAAATCTGTCCTGGGCTTCCCTTTCCAGTTCTTACCAACTTTTGTTCATTCCTCTCATATCTTTCTCTATTTCTCGGCGTAGTGTGTTCCTTGGCCTTCCTCTTTTCCTTTTACCTTGAGGGTTCCATGTGAGGGTTTGTCTCGTGACTTGCAAATGAACTAACACTCATAAAATCGACTAAACTAGTTTAATGTACGCAAAAAGGTTGAATTTTTTAATATTTAATTGATTGATTTGACTACTGAGAAAATTTTTCAGATATTTGAAGCATAGATTAGTTTTTATTGTTTCTATTGTTTATAGTTATATTGGAATAAATGTTACCCAATTTAATTGCACTTGTCTAGTGTTGTTGATAAACATATTAGCACCTAGTAAGTAATATAGAGTACTTAAGGTGTTTGAGGCATGAAGAAGAACAAATAGGTTTTTCATCAAAATTCAACATTTTCAATTCATTGGGAAATTTTTATATTTTCAAACTATCTATAAATATGCTTGTACGTTGATCAATAATACTGTCATCAATAAATCCGCGATTCAATGAAAGTTTAATTATTTTAGTAGAATCTGTATATAATGTTATTCATTTTTATGTTTAATAAATTTTATTTAGGCCTAAGACAGACAGTAAACGAAAGGTTTATAACAAACCACAAATATGTAGTCAGAATTCGAGCGAATTTACTGTAAAAGGTTAGTTTCTCTCTTTGATTTTTACGTTTTATTATTAGTATAGTAAATGAAACAAAAGTAGGTAACTAAAACGCTCTCATGCTTATAACTTTGTGCAAACAATGGGGTAATAAATACCGAAAACTAAATATTTCATGGTATCGAGTGAAACTTCAAATTACACTGGGTTTAAGTTGACAAACAAACGTTACCAATTGATCGTATTCACAATGAAACCCACTTAATCCACGTGAGGGAACTTCTGTTGCAAAGTTGATTAATGTTGGTGGCTTTTGAATGTGTGTGATACAAACTAGGAAGTAGTACATTAATTAGAAGATTAGGAAACATCTAAATATTAAAAGGACGAAATTATTGATTTTGAATTTTGTGAATTAGTATCGCATTCATCAATTTTCTCTATCGACCTCAGTGATAGAACTGATAGTTTCAGTCATGATCTGTACACTTTAATCTTATGCTGAGATTTAGGTAAGGTTATTTGTCTTCAACTAGTCTTGGTAAGAGTCAAACCGTAGTAGAGTAGACACAAAACTGTTCGTTATTCAGGAAGAAGCTAACAGTAACTGAATAAGTGCAGATTGTGGCTCACTATCACTACAGAATCAAAGAAAACTATTAAGACGAAAAACAGAATGAAGTATTAGTTAAACAACATGGAAAGAAGCAGATAGTTTTGCAGGATTTATTATATCGAGTGATATTAGTCTGGAGATTTTGAGAAGGATAACTAAGAAATACAACTGCTGTAGATTTTCGCCTGAGGTATTCAGCTGTGGTCGAAATAACTGCGCAAATCCAAACCCCGAAATCCGCATCATACCCCAAGATGCAAAAAAGGAATCGATAGCTTCATCAACATGTGCCACGTCATTATCTCACCATCTCTTGTGTTTTTCTAAAGTTCCTTTATACAAGATAATGGTCATGTATCCATGAAACACTTTATAACGATCTTAATCCATGAAGGTTTACTGGATTATCTACCTATTAGGGGATTCTACCACCGTAGAAACCTGGAGGCACTAGAAGGCTGTGTTGTCCAAGCATGGGACTCATCAGCGGTGTGTACCCATGACTCTCCATGTGCGAATCAGACCCAGCATCTATGGTTTCGCGCTAGGACACTTAACTTATAGGGAATGACTCACCTCATTTTAATGAATAGACAGGAACACCCAACTGCGGTCACTAGACAAGCCCTCACATGGAACCCTCAAGGTAAAGGAAAGAGGAAGGCCAAGGACACACTACGCCGAGAAATAGAGAAAGATATGAGAGGAATGAACAAACATTGGACAGAACCGGAGAGGGAAGCCCAGGACAGAGTTGGTTGGAGAAACTGGTGGGCGGCCTATGCTCCATTGGGGGTAACAGGCGTAAGTAAGTAAGTAAGTAAGAAATTTTATAATTTTTTGAGCACTATCTCTGATTTTTCTAAGTCGATATCACTTTTTGTGATTTAATCTTATTTAGACTGGCTGTCTGTCAGACATATGATTAAAAAACTCTAAGTATTAGAAGGCTTGTCCAGTGAATTATACTTTACGCTTAAGAATTTGAAAGACAATTTCCGAAAACGACTGACAAATTGTTTGAACTTAGACAATACTGAACATTTTCAAGACAGAAAAGTAAAGCGAAAACTGGCGAAATGAATCAGATGAGCCAATGATGGATTAGGACGTTAACTGGTCTTCAATTGGACTACAGAAAAGTCATAATTTTCAATTAACACCTGCTTAGATATATGATATTTTGATTCAGCTGATCAAATTGGACAGCTCTGACTAACAGCTTGTTTTATTATTCGACATCTAGTTTATTATATTTCATTGTATTATTGTACTGGGAAACTGTCACGAACAATATCCGCAAATCCTAGTCCATAGCAAAACAACCCGATGTGGCTGTATTAAGAGTAGAGAGTGTAATCAACCGTGGATTTGATACATTCAATCTCAATGCATAGTATATCAGTCATAACCAATTAACTTTAAATGTCAGAACTGTTTATGTTAACTTTTACTCATGTTCATAAAACTACTAATTTATCAAGAAACATAAGGACTTTAACTACTGTTCTAACTAATTCAACTTAAAAGACCATCCATATCTTCCTTTTTTTAATCTTTAATAAATCTCAAACTTCTAAACACCTATTCACTCAAGCTGCATCACATTTATCTCGATATGTTGTAATAATAATGCCATTGCCCCTAAAATCTGACGAACCTGTACCATGATTAAACCATTACCAGCTAGAACTAGATTGGTTCATCGCCGAAGCTTACCTTCTTGATCATTATTTCCATTCTATTCTAAATACAAAACGCACTATAATGCACTACTGTTACTCAAAGATAAGACATTCGTCCAACCAGACAATCAGTCATTTAACTAAGTCATGTCAGTTCTTTTTGAAAGTGCATTATTATGTTCATTCGCTTATATGTTCTTGACCACATCATGTACTATTTGAAAAGCTTCCTCTGAACACCATCTTAAACCACTAGATTCTTCGTTGTTTGCTGGAAATTCTGTTCCAGTAAAACTACCACAGACCTCATCAATTTGTGACTTAATAGTTCTTCTCCAAGGAACCGACAAGAGAAGTGGTTTTAGTAAATCCGATTTTATTAGTATGAGATACACCTTTGGCAGTCAGAAATACAATTGACACACAGTCAATTTCAGTTAGAATCGAGGTCCTGAGAGCATATCTTTGATGTGACTATTGATTTTATGAACTCGTAATGTGTCATCTTAAAATTATATCATGTAATTCTCTTCTCAGTTGGAACAAGTTTAACCTCTCGATATTTTTGTAGATCAGTAAAAAATGAAGTATTCTGAAAGTATCAGTTGTTTGTGGTTGATTGGTTAGAATCAGGTAGCCATTATATAATAATTCATTCCATAATTAGGGAAACCTGGCTGAAATGCTTTAATTACTCAAAAAACTGACAGGTCCCGCACTTTACCTGGTACAATAATCAAAGTTCATACTATCATGTAATCTCTAGCTAAAATGAAATAAATATTCCATGTTTAAATAAAGCTAAATAAAAATAAAAATCTCAATAAAATATTCAGAATAAAAGAAATACTCAAAGTAATTCAGTTTATACGACAGAAAAGTTCCCTGTGTGTATCACAATGTAAAATGAATAAGGATTAACTCATCAGGAACACTTAATTGAATCGTAAATATCTGAACAGAAATCAGATACAACTTGTATAAATTGATGTGTAAATAATATTTTTCATTTGAATAAATAATTTGTTGCAGTGATATAATCTAGTATATAAAGTAATAGATTGGTATCGATCGTTAAATGCAGAGATTAGAGTTACTTACAATTCCTACAACACAAAACATAAAACTAGTCCAAACTGGGATTAAATTACTATAGAACAATAAGAGAAGATAGAAAGAGGGTAAACTTAACACAAGCTTACAAGCATTCTTTAATTCGGATTTCATAGCCGTTTGATCAAAAAGATTGCTACATAACTGTTCCTTCACAAACGTCCTTGATTTCAATAAATCTTCAAAATTCAAGCACTAAAAAGAAATATAATAATATGTGATATTGAGACAGCAAAGAGATCGAAGCTATAAAAACCTTAAAAACCTGGAAGTACTGGACAAACGTTTCGTACCACTATAGGACTCGCAAATATATATTTACGACTCTCTAGGGAAACGAAGCTAGAACTTTCAGGCCATATCAAATTACTGTTCCAGATTTATTTTGCTCCTCAATTCATAGAAGATTCTTACATATTCATAGGCCTACTAAAGCAAATAAAACTTTTCTTCAAAGGAAACGCTAAAGGCGTCTATAAAGTCTTAAAATCATCGATTAACTAACTTTACTTGCTACAAAAACTTTCTATATGTCCAATTCACTGGAAATCAAATAAGGCATTGGATAAAGATTCATCAGTAATCCAACAGAAGTGATTAAGTCTTCCATTTTAATGCTTCATTATCAAAGTGAACTGTCAACTATGTAACTTAAAGTATAGTCACTTTAAAATTTACTTACTGTACTCAAACATTAACACTCTCAGTTTATTCTAAATCCCAGGCTTATTTTCAGTTCATGTAAAAAAAATCTACTTACTTCTGATTTGCAGTTTTTCAGTGTTTTATTTAAAATATCCACAAAATAGCTATCGGATTGCGTTTCCAAGTTTATGAGTGTAGGAATATTTTGAAAATCAAAATGAAACTTCACTTGTTCTGTTTGTGAATTTAAATTTGATACTGTCTTTGTGTGATTCATGTTGGCTACAAAACATTTCAAAAGACAAACTTGTATCCAGTAAATAATTTTCGAAATAATCCAATCTAACTATAATTTTTCTAGAAATTGTGAGAAAATTTGTTTTCCTATTAAGTTGACGCATCCAAGTACCTTTTTTATCGTAGATGTAATTCTAGACAGGAAACTTTTTTCTTCTGATATTTAAAGAATCAATCTCCTTCCTGAATGATTCATCCATCAAAATTAAAGTATTCGAGTAACTTAGTTCTGTTTAGCAAAGATGCTAACTAGATGCCATTTCCTGTCTATTCATTAAAATGAGGTGAGTCATTCCCTAGAAGTTAAGTGTCCTAGCGCGAAACCATAGATGCTGGGTCTGATTCGCACATGGAGAGTCATGGGTACACACCGCTGATGAGTCCCATGCTTGGACAACACAGCCTTCTAGTGCCTCCAGGTTTCTACGGTGGTAGAATCCCCTAATAGGTAGATAATCCAGTAAACCTTCATGGATTAAGATCGTTAGACCATTATCTCGTATAAAAGAACGTTAGAAAAACACAAGGGATCGTGGGATAATGACATGGCACATATTGATGAAGCCATTGACTCTTTTTTTGCGTCTTGGGGTATCGTGTGGATTTTGAGGTTTAGATTTGCGCAGTGATTTCGACCAAAGCTGAATACCTCAGGCGAAAATCTACAGCAGTTGTATTTCTTATTTATCC